ACTGATGTTAGCTCAGGGCCAGTTTTTCTCAAGCAAAAAAGAGAAGGATTGGCAACAGATGGTAGCTCAGGGCCAATCTTCCTCACCAAAAAAAGGGGGATGAGGTACTGAAGTTTCTATTCTATTATTGTTTATTACTGTCTATTTCTGCCTTAAATTCTGTCAATGATTGTTTCAGATATTTTGGGGGTCTGTTGTTTGGTTTATGTATTTTTATAATTTTGATGAATTAACCCTTTTATCAATGTATAATATCCTTCTTTATATTTTGCAATAATTTTGACTTAACAACTATTTTGGCTGGTATTAATATAGCCACCCCAGCTCTCTTTTGACTACTATTTGCATGAAATATCTTTTTTCATCCTTTCACTTTCAATCTAGTTGTTTCTTTGAGTCTGAAGTTAATCTCTTATAAGCAGCATATCATTGGATCACGTTTTTTTTTACCTATTCTTCTAGTCTCTCTCTTTTAATTGATGAGTTTAATCTATTTGCTTTTAAAGTACTACTGTTAATGAAGGACATACTTCTGTCACTTTGCTATTTGTTTTCTATGTACCTTATATCTTTTTGTTCCTCAATTCTTCCAATGATGCCGTCTTTTGTGTTTGATTTTTCTAGTGTACCATGTGATTCTCTTATCCTTTTCTGTATTTTTTAAAGTATTTGCTCCTATAATGTGTGTGTTGGCATGCTTGTTAATATCCCATAGGTCCCTTAGACCTTAGACTCTGTTCATTTCTCTTCATTCTTTTTTCTTTCTGCTCCTGAGATTGGGTGATTTCAGTTGTCCTATCTCGAAGTTTGCTGATTCTTTCATCTGCCTGCTTATATCCTGTTGAATACTTCTAGCGAATTTTTCGTTTCAACTATTTTGCTTTTCAACTCCAGAATTTATACTTGGTTTCTTTTTATAATTTCTATCCCTTTATTCATATCCCCTACATGCTCATATATCATTTTTCTTATTTCCTTTACTTCCTTGCCCATGGTTTCTTTAAGCTCTTTGAGCATATTTAAGATAGTTAATTTAATGTATTTGTCCAATAAATTCAAAAGCCCAGTGTCTGGGTTTCCTCAGGAAGGTTCTTTTTTTTTTTTTTTTTTTTTATCAATTTCTCTCTTTGTAAATGGGTCTTACTTTACTTTGTAAGCTTTATAATTTTTTGTTGAGAACCAGACACTTTGAATATTGTAATGTGGGAACTCTGGAAATCAGATTCCTGCTCCCCTCCCAAGAACTGCTGTTGTTGCTTGTTGAGGGCTGCAGGCATACATTTGTTTAGTTACTTTTCCAAACTAACTTTGCAGAGACTGTATTTCTTGTCATCTATGGTCACTAATGTCTCCTGTTCCATTATCTCTGTGGTTAGCCAGTGATCTGACAGAGATTTCCTTGAATGCTAGTCTCTTTCTTCATCAAGTACTTCCCTGGATGCTGCAAGTGTTCTACTAGACTCCAGAGTTCTGAAATGGTTGGTTCTGACAGTTCTTGCCAGCTCAATAGTTATTGAAGTGGAGGGACCACTTCCTGAAGCTTCCTACTCTGCCATCTTCTGTGAAGTCCAAATCATTTCGTTTTAACTATTATCTTGAATATGATTCTAAAATGTATCAGTACCCTTTATTGAGTGCATCAATAAACTCTACAATGGATACAGTTTATCTTTCTTCAACTTTTAACTATATTGCAGTGCCTTTATGATGATCTTTTTACTGAACATTGGAGTAAATATTTAAAGTTGAATTTCTTGAGTGGATTTACACAGCCTCAAATGTGTAATATGGAAGTTATCTCTTTGTTTTATATAATTTTTAAGACAAATGTTGGTTGTACTTTTTAAATCATCTTTTCCCTCCAAACTTCTTACGACTATGGTCAGAGGGGAAGGAGGCCTGCTCTTCAAAAGGAGTCTGAGGTATAATATTAGCCTCCCAGTATCATGTGAACTGTATGTTCCAGCAAAGGTGGCTAATTAGGATACAGAAAAGTTGATCATTTAAAGAATAGATATATTTCTACTTTTTTTAAAGCAGATATCGGGTACCAAGTTGAACTGAGCATTTGTTTCTATTCTCTTTCAAAACAGTTACTCTGTAAAACCAAGTAGTTCTTACAAAAAGAAAGAAAAGAATAGGAAAAAAAAGCAATCAAAAGGAAGCAATTTAAGCTAATTCAACCCTAAAAGCATATAGTTCCTCAATCTTTAAAATGGTGGTAATAACAAAAAATATAAACAAAACTCCTCATACAGTTTTGAGCAATGGAATGAGGTAACATATATATGCCTGGTATGAGGTAGACATCAACTAAATGTCAGTTACTGCTGTTTTTCCATAGACTTCACTCACTCGTGGTCAGGAGCATGGACTTGTGGAATCAGACAGTGTATCAGTAGCATGCTATGGTAGCAAGTAATAGAAAACTCAACTCCTTAAACAATAAGGAAACTTACCAGCTTACTAAGTTTAAGTCCCAAGGTAGGATGTGCTTCAAGATGGTTGATAAAACATTTCAATAATGTCAACAAGAATCCAGGTTTTTTTCTGTTGTCCACTCTTCCATTCAGAATATGGCTTCAGCATATGACTGATTTCCCTGATGTTTGTAAGCTGGCTACCGTAGCATTCACATCTGATCGGGGAGGGAGAGTGTTTCTCCAAATCATCAAAGTCCCCCTGGGCAGTGTGAGTGGTCCAAATTAGTTCACACCTCCTCATACAATAACTGTTGCCAGAGAAAAGCCAGGTTCTGATTGTTATGATTATCAGGCCCCATGTCTGGAGCTGGGGTCAAATTTGGGTTTAGGCCAACAAACCCGGTGTCTGCTACTGAGATCTTGGGTTCTAACACTTCCTTGCTATGTCTTTGGGCAAGGTATACAACCTTATTGAATTTTCTCATCTGCAAAATGGGTGTGAAGATGAACTGAGATAAATAAATATGAAAACAAAAGGTTTTATACCCAGTAAATGTTGTTATTAATATTATTATTATTCATCTATACACTTTCATATTATGCAATGGTTTTAAATTGTCTGCCTTTCTGGGTAAAGTGTGAGTTTTTTGAGAATAAAAACAATATCACTTTCATTTTTTACCTCTAAAGTCTTACATATAACGAATGCCCAACATATTTCTTTAACAAACAGTGAATAAATGAATATCTGTTGAGTGAATGAATAAAGGCCTAAAAACAACAAAAAGTAGATTTGAAAGAAAGACAACCAAGTGGTGATTAGATGAGTTACAAGTCAGACAGGATGTGGTAACAAAATGAACCAGATTTAAAAAGAATATATTTGACAGAAAAAAACCCAGAAAGACCTAGAGAGGCCTTTTTCTTGAAGAAGAGAGTGGTTGCAGGAAGTGAGAGAACCCAAACCAATCTGAGTTTAGGGTAACCAGCTCGTAGAGACTGTGATATCTTCAGATATTTTGTTTTACAATTTGAAAAATAATAAATATTTGGATAAGAACCATATGAATGCTTACTGCAATCTAGAAGAGGTAGAAGAAATAATACTAATAGCCGCGGAGTACTTGACATGTTCCAGGTGTTGTTCCAAGTGTTTCTCTTGTACAAACTCATATAATCCTCAAAACAAACCCATGAGATAAGTACTATTCTTTTCATCCCCATTCCTATTTACAGATAGGAAAATCAAGTCCAGAGAGACTGAGCAACTTGCCCAAATCACATAGATACCAAGTAGCAAACTGAGATTTTTACCCAAAGGGTCTGACTCAAGAGTCCGTGTGTTTAGCCATGACACTATACTGTGTAATAAAATAGAATGGTGCTCAGAGAATCTAGACTACATTTCCAAACCACCATGCACCCAAGAGTTAAATGTGTTAGTGCCCATGAGGGGCACCGCAGGCCTCCCAGGTCACTGAGAGCTTAGAAAGGCGTAGCCAGCCCTTCAAGACATATGTGTTCCCTCCGGCACTTCCCAGTGCACTTTCCTAATTCCCAGCCTCTAGCACAAAGGCAATGGAGAGTGCCAATGAAACAATGATTTTTTAAGGGAATTATTGTGTGGATAGATGGATGGATGAATAGTTGCATGTCAGTGTATATGATATGCTCACCTTATTTCCATGGCAGACCAAACTCTTTATGCTTCCCCATTTGGTAAATTGTCTTTAAAAACTTGCTGTACTTTTCAAGATGAGACAGTAAGCTTCGCAATAACACTTGGAATAATATGAAAGAGATGCTTAGAGATAAACCATGCCTCAGAGGATGCACTGGGGGGTGGAATGAATACAAGGTTGTGTTTCCCTTCCCAGGGACTCTTTCTGAATTGTTGCTGAGCTGTAGAGAAACAGCACAATAAGCTGCCTGAATGAATGGAAAAGCAGTCCAGGTCTCTCCAAGGGAACTGAGGGACAAGGGACTATCAAACTACCACTTTCCTCAAGAGAAATCCACAGAGAGTAAAACAAAGACAATCACCTTCAGACATTTCTTTGGTTACAGTTTAGCATAGATCTGCCTTTGATCAGACTTTAACTTGAAATTCCTGCATTTCCTTTCAGCTCCATCTACCCTGCTGCTTGTATGGTAAACATTGAAGGGAGTTAGAACTCCTACTCTTTCTAGAGAGCTGTAGTCCCCCAAGAGTTAAGTTTCAAGAACCATATGTAAACCACAATACAGATTTCAGATTCAGCTGTACCAATAAAGTACAATCTTGAAACATAATAAAGATGAGTGTTGAGATCGTTGTACTAGAAGTCTCTTTGCCTGTTGTAACTATGGGGTTTCATCTCTTGTCCGGAAAGGTCTTTATTACTAAAAATAAATAAAATCAAGATTATTTCTTCCTCTCTCTATACTAATCATTTGTCATCTATGAGGGAAATATCTGATGCAATTTTTATTTTTAGTAGATAGTGGCGGAAGGCAATTCACTTACAAATTGGACTTTTAAACGGAGCTTTAAAAAAATCGCTGTACTTACATACCCTTACAAGAAAATGTCTTTAGCTTGCAGACTCTGAAGGAACAAAATCAAAACTGATTGAGCAAGTTTCCTGGCTGGAGAAGAAACTAGCGGCTCTGGACCACAAGGAAGACAGAGGGGAACCATATGAAAAAATGGTTCTTGCAAAAGACCAGGTATGCTGTAGAAGAAAAATAACCTTTATTGTAAAAGTTACCTAAATCGATATGAACTGCCAGTTCTGCGGTCATTTCTGGCTGGGTTGGAAGTTTGTATTTAATTTTAAGATGATAAATAACAATATCTATATTTGCTGAATGTAATTGTATTCCCTGATGAATATTCACATACAAAAAATGAATTTTGTCAGTAATATTTTTAAAGTTCATTTGATATATATCCTTTTGAACCATATTAGCTGAATATTCTATTGATTTTTAAGTGGTAGTGACTGTATGAATATTTCTTAGTTTTCAAGTTTGAACTCAAAGAATAGTTTCTATGTAGTAAAACAAGTGGATCAGAAAATTTGTCATATGCTTTTTTTAATCAATTACTTTACAAGAAGATACTGATCTCTGAATCTCTGGACATTTATATATGTGTCATGATATAAATTTATCTCTTGTTCACCCCAAATGGATTTGTATCTGCCTTTGTAATGTATATTTATATATATATTTGGAGTATATATATTGAACATATGTATATCGTCAAATAAAAACATATCCATATATTCCAAAGGCAGATATGAACCCATATATATGTTTACATAAGGTGGGTTAGCCTTACCTGTAGTACATTAAGCAAACATCATTTTTCTCAATCTTTTCCTAATTCTTAATTCTTATTTGTATACTTTGTCCTTGGTCTCTTTCATAGAATGGAAGCGAGATAGGGATGGCAGTGATAATTTCTTTAATGACGATCTTCAAAACATCTAGCTGAGACAATGCTGCCATTCACAAAATTTGAGAACTAGTACATATTTATATCTGGAATACTTTGAATAGGTAAAAGGAAGAATTATGCACTTTGTTTCTTTACTTTTCTCCTTTTAGTGCATTGAGAAATTACAAGCTGAAGTGAAAGCGTCCCAGGAGCAACTTATAGCGCAGGTAAGTGTTTTCCTCCTTTTTTAATCCTTTAATTTATATCATTGTCATCCTGGAAATGAACAGATATTTTTCAGAAGTTATAACTGTGGGCTTTCTGCTGCAAACAAAATCACAAGGCTGAGAATCAGTATTTTTGCTGCCTCTACAGAATTGCTTTCTGTAAATAGAATTCTGATTTATGTTGTTGGTAAAAATTACAAAACTGAGCTCTTATATATAAAACCAATGGTCTAATCAGGTACCATCAGGATAAGAGAAATGGAAACTAAGGGTGGAAAAACAGGGAAGCCAGGCTAGTTCAGAGAAAGAGTGGAAGTGGAAATTATAGACACATCGAATATAGACCTAGAGCCGTGCTTCTTAAACTTTAGCATATCAAGAATTACCTGGAAAAATTTTAAGAACAAATCACCTAGAGATTCTACTACCTGTATGCCTAGGATGAGCCCTGAGAATTTGGACTTCCAGGTGATGCTAAATTCAGGTGATGCTGATGCTGCCAGTCTTTGGACCATATTTCGAGCAGCACTGTTTTATATATATTTATTCTGCCCCAGACTTGTGAGTTTTAGGCAAGTGACCATATAAATAAGTCAGATACAGAATTGTCCATTTTCTACTGCAAGTACTCCCTTGAATCTTAAGAGTAAGTTTCTTCTATACATTAGCCTATCTTTGCTCAGAGAACAACAAATGAGTATTTCCCGCCACAATACCTTCGTGTATTTAGGCACACAAACCAGTCATTGCCCTGCCACTGTCCCTTTCCAAGGATCAGAACAACCCTGATGCTGTAAGTATTTCCTCAAAGCCTTGCTTGCCATCCTTTTAGTGATCTCCTCCATCTAGATCCTGGGTGCTAGGGGATGACGTCTTCATTAAGAACACTGGTCAGTCATGTTGAATGGCCGCTGTGAACAACAACAAACTCCTCAGACAAATGTAAGACCCGAGAAGTTGCAGTCCAGAAGTTGTGCAGAAAAGACTCTGCAAAATAATAAGTTCTGGTCACCATCCCTTCGGGGTTTGAAATGAGCTATCTGCATAAAATCATGGTAATGGCTCCATTTTGTGCTGGGGCACAGGAAAGCTAATCTGCTGCAGCAGTAAGTAAGCGGAGCTTTTAACTCTAAATTCAGAATCTCTTTTGGCATTCAATGCTCAATTGACCGATACTGAAAATGACTAAGGCCTGCATTTGTGACATATTCAGACAGAGGTAAATCTCATTAGCTCAGGATTCTGTCACAGATGCCTCTCCCCTGGCCTGCCCCTGAGGTTGCCAGATAATGACTATTGTCAGAGGATGTCTCCTTGTGCCAGATTGATACCTACTGCCATATGTCCAGGGGATTTTTAGCTCCAAATTTTTTTAAGGAGAGCAGGTTTTGATATTAGCTTCTAGCATCTCTTGTGCAAAACTGATAAAAAAACAGTCACAGGTGCCTTAGGGAAATTCTTGTGGTATCTCCTTCCATTGCCCAGCTTTTGTGGGTTCTATTCCTGTACCATGTTCTTCCTGGCCCAGGCTTGTCGAAACTGGGATTGCTTCCCTGTATTAGGGTATTGATGGTATTGATACCAATGACTGAGATTTCTCCTATGTAATTGCTCAGTGTTCGGATTTTAATACAGCAGTGTAATCATCAAAGTGTTGCTTCAATTCAACAAGGATATTTAAATGAAAATAACATTAATAATAGTGTCTCATGTCTGCTATGTCATAAGTGCTTCACAGATGACCTATTTTAAATCTCAGTATAACCCAACAAAGTGGGCATTATTTTTCAGATAAGAAAACAGTCTTAGAGATTAGATCACTTGTCACACATGTCAGTGAAAGCCAGGTGAAACCCAGGCTTTTGCTATTGCAATTTGCTGCCTCTCCAAATTATATTCTCCACGTGCCATTTGAGGCGTTGAACCATGTTTATAAAGGTTGGCTCCAACCTCCTTTCTCTGTTCACTCTTAGTGATTCATCAGCTCATAATGCTTCAACTCTCACTTCTGTGCAAATACGAATAAACAACCCCCTCCACCTCCACCAACTTCTTTCTATCTTAATCATTCCCCGATTACAACTCTTTAGTGCTGTAATGAGCATTCCTTAAAAAATTATTTCTGGAGAAAACATTCCAAATGATGTTAATCTGTATCCTGGGAAAAAAAAAATGGGAGAGGCGTTAGAAGTACAGTTAAGTTAAATGGGTTTATTTACTGCAAGACTTATCAGTGTATAGTCAATTGCCAAGAAAGGGCCCTGGTATGCCATTTTCAATGGTATTTGACCATGAAGGATGTTGTAAGTGCACAGGTTTGAAGATTGCTGCCATACTGCATCAAATGAAAGCACTATGCTTGCTAAATATGACCTGAATATCTTGCTGACACCCCAGGCTCAGCATATACAAAGTCAAATTTATCATCTTCTATTAACATCTCTTAAATATGCTCCTATGTTTATATTCCCCAGCCATAGAGAATAGTATCACACTGTTGTTATTTATTCTAGATCCAACTAAAAAGCAGTATTGAAATCCTACCTCTGTCTGCTTCCATCCCCCATTTGGTTAGTTGTCAGGCTCTGAGTCTGTTTCTACAAGTTCTCTCATTTCCATGTCTTCTAGTCCATTGTATTGCCACACTCCTAGCTCTTTTTGATAATTTTATACCTTAATTGGCCCCAAATTATTAACATATGTGAGTTCAGAGCCTCTCACTGCCTCCCTTCCACTAACAATATAGCTTACTTGCTGTAACACCATCAAACCCTATTTGCAGAGGAGAGGAAAGGATAAAATCCATGTGTAAAGATTTGGGGTGGAGGCAGAAAACCAAACAGAACCAAAGGATAACACTCACAGAGAGAAGAAAAACTACTGGAGTGGCAGAGGAGAGAGAGCAAGGAGATTATGAGACTAAGGTGGTGGGAAAAGAACTTTGTCGATGGGGTGAGGGTTCTTCTAAGATAAGAGGTTGAAAGACTCCTGGGAGTTCTGGGGATGCTTAAGACTATGAAATAACAGAGCATGAATAAGAGCTTTTGGGTAGTATGCACTTGAACCCGCTTAAGTGTTTGAGAGTTGAATGTAAAGTTTGGAGTTCCTGTTAGGGCTGTGCCTCCTATATGTAACACTGCTGTAGGATTTGACGCTGTAGTTGCCTCCTGGTTTCCCTACCTCCACCTCTAGTGGGGTTTCCAAAGGGCCATCCCTACCTCTCATCTCCCTCTTCTTGCTCATTCCCCTCTCTCTGCCTTACTAGCTGAACGGGCTAGTAAAACGTACCTCCTGTCTGTCTTTATACCTGCAACTGATGCTGTGATTTTGCTCACTGTGTTTCTCTTGGTCTGGACTATCCTTCCCCCTCCTCTTTATCCAAACAACTCTTACTCTTTTTGTAAGACTCATATCAGGGATTGTCTTCTCCCTTAGCCCCCAGATTACCTTCTCTGGGCTCCCATAGCCTCCTATACGTACATCTATTTTAGCTCAAAATACTACATTTTATTGACGTTATCTGTTTCTACATCTGTCCCTCACTAGACTTGAAGGTCATTGAGGGCAGCACCAAGAACATGTCTCTGTATCCACTACACCAAATACAGGGCTGGGCACCTTACAACCACTCAATACATTTTACTGGATTAATTAGAATTTTACTCTGATCATGTCATTTCCCCTGTTCCAAAGCCTAGCGTAAGACAATTGTTGCCTATTATCTCAGAATAAAGTCCAGCCTCCTGATCGTGGCATTTATCATACCGAAAATGAGAGTCTGACCCCTTTTCCTGCCTCCTCTCCATTACACATCTGAGACTCCCAAGTACACCCAAGCATTTCTGCCCTAGGGGCTTTACTCATAGTTCCTTTCCACCTGCAATATCTGTTACCACCATTGTGTTTGCCAGGTTTTTCCCATTCTTCACCAAAATTTTTCCTTCCAGAAAGATTTCCCTGTCTATCCAACCAGAAGTAATCTCTCCTTCCTTGGTACTTTCATAGTACTTCCCTGTACCTTTCTTGTGTCACTTGTCACACTGCGACCCAGAATTATTTAATGTGGCCTAGCTCTTCCCAAGACTGTGAGCTCCTGGAAAACAGGGAGCAAATCCATTTATCTTTATGCCTCTCACAGTGTCTGGCTTATTGGCTTCTACAGATTTCTTTGAAATGAATTTTTTAAATGGTTAAATTAAAAATAATGTTCTTTTGATATTTATAGGAGCCCACTTTAACTTTTTTGGAAAATTACTTTGTGACATTTTATTCCTTAAAAATGCCAGTTACATGAGGTGTTACTTGGATCTGAAATGGATACTTTCAGGGTGCAACACGGAAAGGACAAAAAGTAATGATTTCTTTGAATGGAAATAGAAGGAAAAAATAGCAGAGAAATAAAATATAGATGTGGGAAACCCCTATTTCAAAAGAAGTAAGAAGAACATCCAAAGGAAACGATGGTCTTAACATGAAAATTAACAACCTAGGGTCTTGGCTTCCTTTTATTCAGTGTTCACTCATCTAGAACCCAATAGTTGAATTATGTTATTGTGTAATTAAATTGATGACTATGAAATGGAAAGAAGATACAGGCCTAAACATTTCAGAGTGAGTTGTCACTGCCAATATGTTGAAGATTAAAATCTTATCCCATTAACTTTGCCCAATCACAGTTTATACTTTTAAAAGATTACAGACAGTTGCCTTTCCCAAAGCACATGTGGGTGTCCACTCTGAGCCACCCACAGGGCTAAGCTGCCCTAGGCGTTTTTATCACTCCCTTCCACAAGATTACTTATTTGCCTAGAGACATATGTGGGATTAAACAAATATTCGAAGTGAATGATTATACTCATTCAACAATAATTGTTCATGTTAGGGCAATTTGAGACAGAACTAGGTATCTTAAGAAAAAAAATCCTTTTAAAATTAAAAGCTTCCAAATTGTTGAATCCATTGCTTGCCTATTTTTAGTATTGGGACAGGGGTGCAGTATA